CCCTTCGTCTCTTGCAAAATTCATTTTTTGTGTAGAATTTGGTGCTACATAATTATTTACCACAATCTTTTCAAATTCTGAAAGAAAAATAATAAAAAAAATACAGTAAATCTTACCACCTATTAAGAAAAGAAATTGCCTATAAATTTGAATTTTTAAAAAGTATAGATACCTAAATATAGATATTTACCATTATTTTGATCTGATAGCCCTTCGTCTCCTACAAAATTCATTTTTTGTGTAGAATTTGGTGCTACATAATTATTTACTACAATCTCTTCAAATTCTGAAAGAAAAATAATAATAAAAATACAGTAAATCTTACCATCTATTTAGAAAAAGAATTACCTATAAATTTGAAATTTGAAAAAAATATAGCTGCCTAAATATAGATATTCAGTGGCGTGACGAAGGACTATATTTGAGGCACGTGCCTCTGTTTGAGGGGTGGTGGGTGTCCTCAAAGATCATCTGATGTGTTAAAAAAGCATTATTATTTAAATAAATAAATATATTTCATCTTAAAAATTTTTTTTATGTTTTTTGAGATKGGTGGAGTGGGTGGTTGGTCTTACAATATAACTGTGCCTCATAACATAATGAAGTTTGCCACGCCACTGTAGATATTTACCTAAATTCTGATCAAACAACCCTTCGTCTCCTAAAAAATTCATTTTTTGTGTGGAATTTGGTGGTACATAATTATTTACCTCAATCTCTTCAAATTCTGAAAGAAAAATAATAACAAAAATACAGTAAATCTTACAGTAAATCTTACCACCTATTTAGAAAAATAAATACATACAAATTTAAATTAAAAAACGTACAGGTACCTAGAGTATACCTACTCCGTGATAATTTCTTACCAAGTAAAAAAGTTTTGTGTGGGTGAAATATAGATGGAATAGCATTACTTTTAAGCCTCTTTGCATCAAAAATAGTTATATAGTCAGAAGCTTTGAAATGCCTACTGCAAATTCTTGTATGGATAGTTGGTAGAAACTTACAATTTTTATTCACTGCTGCCACCCATTTATCACTTAMACTTTTTCGATTAGGGAACCTATTTGTAAATAGCAAATATAAAATTAAAATATTATATTTGTGTATATACCTATCTAGGTATAATTTAGGTATATTAATTAAATAAAGAGAAATATTTTTCAGTATTGAATGACAATGTACTTATGTAATTTTAAACCCGGATTTCCAAACCGTTGGGATCTGCAACTGGTAACGCAACACTTTTGTACCATTATATATATTTCCAAATTATATCAAATTAAAAACCAGAATTGTAACAAACACGTTACACGGGTACCTAGATAAATATAAATGAGTTACACCAAGATACCAAATACTGTATGATAATTTAGAGTATTTTGTTACACTTTTCCCATAAACTCAAATATTTGATCCTCCGAGTCGTATTATAATTTTATTAATTATTACAGTTTGTCTTAAGATTCAAAGATTGGTATATTAGGCGGTGCAGGTTCAGTTCACCCAAAGAGTATAAACATTTATTATTTAGTATTTAGCCGTATACGGTTCTGGGAAAATGATAAGGATTGTTATACAACGACTGATAACAGTAATGTAATCCAGCAGGCTTCATAGATAATATCTTTATTATCCATGTTTAGCTGCAGTCAGTGATGCCCGCATTGCCACTCGCTCGCTGCGCTGCGATTGGACAAACAAAAAAAAACGATAATATCCCTAGACTCGTTATCACGGCTCGCTATGCAACAACAACTACATAATAGCTGCTGACTATCTAGGAATTCGCTGGGTCCTGGGCTATTAATATGGCTACTCTATAATGGCTAAACCGATTTAAAATCATCCCACATTTTCCCACACCGGGAAATTAATTCATTGTCTATGAATGAATCAATGAACCATGTAAATGATATATCGTCTAAAAACATCCCTGTGCGTTTTTTCACACTGGTTTAGTATATGGTATTTGTAGTATACCACAATATAACCAGTATAACCACTCTTATCATTTTCAGATAATTACAACCGTCCATATTCTGGCTTCATATTCTGACTTTCTGAGATCATAGGTATCATGACAAAATAGATGATAGGTATTAATAGTATTATGAATTATGATCATCTATTCATCTAAGCTGCAGCTGCCCACAGCAGCTGGGCCACAGGGCACAGATATTAACTGGTTAATGTCTATACTCTATATAACTGCCAATCACCGTCCCCTTTTGCCTTGATAAACCTTCATTCCTGGTTTATCATTTAATATTTTATTATACAACACCGATTTAAGATATTAAGATATAGTAAATTAACAGGTATCTTGATAGTCACACACGAATGAACTGATTATTACCATGGGGCATGGAGTAAAATATTTCGTCCAAACTCCAAATGTATATTTTATCCACAACGTGAAGTCTGTTAAAATAATAAGATATGATGTTACGTAACAACAATGGGGTCTTACAACCAACGCTGGTCGCTGATAAATTGATAATCAGTCGTGAGCCGTGACGACGTCGTTACATCGTGTCGATCGGCGTTTTTGAATTTTTTTTTATTTTACGAACCCTAACCTAAACGAACGCCAAACAGAATACAGATTACAGATCGTTTCCAAAGTGATAACACTTAGGTACTGACTACTGACTACAGTTGTAGCTACCGAATCTTAATAATATATTATTGTCTTTTGTAGACTCGAAATTGCTAATTACCAGTTTTTACTGGTTTCGAATCTTCGATCGTTTCATTTTTAATTCACTTACTTTTCGTTTAGAATCGTTAATATGAAGAAATAGACTGAAGAGTACAATTTACTGTCATCAATTCATTCAACCTGAGGTATGGTATTATGGTTCAACAATACATAAGATTATTATAGGTAATATATAAATTACCTAACACGTTCAGAAGCGGGTTATGATAAATTGTGCTTTCCATACATTTTAGAGTTTCTTCATACATAAGTATTGAAAACTACTCTTTTAAGCTGATTGATTTCATTATTTAATGGTGCTCCTTAACATTTACTTATTAGAAATTTAACGTACAAATTATTATTTCATTGACACCTATATTGTATTTGTTTGTAATTTTTTGAAAGTTGTATAATTTTTAATATTTTCATACACGTTACCTGTTTAGATAATGTTTTAAGAAGTATTTTACTAAGCTCTTGTCCAGTAAAATATATTACTAAAGTAAACGATCAATAAATCTATATTGTTGTATCAATGTTTTCAGTCAGAAAATGTAAGTTTTTTTAAAGTTTAAAATATGATTTGTTTTCTACAGTTTGTTTATTATATAATTCCGGATTTAGACTTATTATGAATATATAATATTAGGTATATATGTAGTATGTAGGTATTTATAATTATTGAATTACTGTACTCTTGGCACTTAAATAAAAAACATTTAAATTTATACAATTATCTGTAACAGCTGTCAACTAGGTAGGTAATTTAAAATGTTGTTAAGTTATTACATAAAAATATTACTTACCTATATAGCTTTTTTCAAATACTATTAACTCAATTAATAATTACTATTAACAATACTTATACAAAAAAGCCAAGACAATGATGATCTAAATCTTTTATAATTAATATATTTAAAAAAAATTTAACAAGTTAATAATAAATTACTTTTGGAAGACAAGTTTATTTCAATGGAAGACATTATTAAGATAATATTCAGTACTTAAAATGTTATAAATTATGCCTAATATAATATATTGATAATTATTACTGATTAGTATTCTAAGTTTCCGAAACAAATATATTTTATTTCTGTGTATTCATCCATACCATGGCGAGAACCTTCTCTTCCAAGACCAGATTCTTTGACACCTCCAAATGCTGCTTCTGTGGCCGATATGATACCTTCATTGACACCAACCATTCCAACTTCTAGGGCCTTTGCTACTCTCCAAACTTGAGACAAATCATTTGAGTAAAAATAACCAGCTAATCCTCTGTTTGTACTATTTGCGATTTCTAATCCTTCTTGTTCTGTATCAAACTCAATACATACTGCAACAGGTCCAAAAATCTCTTCAACGTAACACGCCATGTCTTTAGTGACATTTGTGATTAATGTTGGTTCATAAAATCGTTCACCAATACTTAATGCCCGTTTACCACCAGTTATGATTTTTGCTCCTTTATTCTTAGCGTCGTTTACTATTCTATCAACTTTATCTGCTTGAGCAAAATTTATCAATGGTCCCAAGTTCACGCCACAAGTCTTACCATCACCCATAACTAATTTATCCATTTCTACTTTCAATTTATCAACAAATTCTTTGAATACATTTTTTTGAATAATAAATCTATTAGCACTTACACATGTCTGCCCACAATTTCTAAACTTTGAAGCCATTGCTCCAGCCACGGCTTTGTCAACGTCTGCTTCATTGAATACTATAAATGGCGCATTTCCTCCCAATTCTAATCCAACACGTTTCACTGTGCTGCTGCATTGTTTGTACAGTAATTTTCCAACCTCAGTAGATCCAGTAAATGAAATACCATAAATATCTGGACTTTCACATAACAGCTTACCAATTTCTGGAGTATTTTCTCTTGATGTAGTTACAATGTTAATTACACCTTTGGGAATGCCGGCGTCTTCTGCAAATTTTGCTAAAATTAATGCTGTGATTGGAGTATTTTCTGCCGGTTTAATGACACATGTACATCCTGCTGCCAATGCAGCTCCAGCTTTTCTAGTAATCATGGCAATTGGAAAGTTCCATGGTGTAATAAGACCAACTGGTCCTAGTGGTTGACGAATCATTAAAATTTCTTTGGTTTTATTTGGACTAGGAACATGTTCACCATAAGTTCGTCGTGCTTCTTCTGAAAACCATTCAACAAATGAATTTCCGTAAGCGACTTCACCCAATGATTCTGCTAATGGTTTCCCAGCCTCTGATGTTACAATGTCTGCTAAATAATCTTTATTTTCAACCAAAATATTGTACCAGTTTCTTAATAGATCACTTCTTTCTTTAGCTGTAGTCTTTTTCCATGTGTTGAATGCATCATTTGCTGCATTTATAGCTATTTGTACATCAGAAGCATCCAAATCTGGTACAGTAGCGATAGTTTTTCCTGTAGCCGGATTGACAACATCAAAAGTCTTTCCAGATTTTGCATCACACCATTCACCGTTCACATAAGCTTTGGTAGGCCACATTGTTGAGTAACGTTGTGCACACATTATTATTGATCTGGTAATGCCTTGCGAGGATCTAAGTAACATGTTGAAATGGAAATGTATTTAGATAATTTCAAACAATTTAAAACAAATATTTAATAGGCAAATTAAATTAAATTTGGTATAAAAAATTAATTTTCTTTAATTACTTTGATCTATATTTGAACTTTAGAAACTGGTTGTTAAACTATCAATAATTTCTCGAGTGTTCGTAATCGTAATTCGACTAATTCATAATCCTCATTTCTCAGTCTAGTTGGTCCTGTCTGAATCGACGTTTTGAAGTAGTTTTAACTTTTAAGTTATATCAATAATCGTAATGCTACGGCGGGAAAGTGGATGGTGGTCACCCTTCACCTCACCTTCTACCGATGATGGTGTTACCAACATAATACACACACCATAATTATTAAACTATTCGAACGCCATTAATTTTTATCTGTATTGCACAATATTACAGTACAAAAATTAYAATAATAATTTATTATTATTATCTATTATATATTTTAATATTGCCATGTTAGATCCAAAAATGATGATTGGCATATTATTTTCAACTTGGTTTGATCTTTCATTCAGAATTCGGATTAGAGGAATGCTCAATGCATGTTTATATTTAATATTTTATTATTCTAAAATAAAAATGTTTGATTCGATTTTGTTTGCTAGCGAATAGCATAACAAACAAATACGTTTTACCGACCCTCGTGACATTCAATCTGACCCTTTTTGTTCTTTATTATTATTAATTTCACACACTTCCTTTTTAAATTCAACCGATTTATAACCTAAGTGCGTAAATTAATATATAGACACCTAAATATTTTTTTTGCATTTGATAGTTTTATAATCTTATTGGTAGTTAAATGTGCTATAATACTTGCCCCTGTCTTATAACTGTGTTGTATATACTCATATGAATACATAATATTTATGGTAGTTGTGTTTCATAATATAACTTATAACGATTATTATTGGATCAACTAACAAACTCGCTAAAGTTTTTTTTTTATCTATGATCTTTAGTTTTAATAATACAATTTTACACTATTAAGGTCCCTCTAATATTGTTCTATCATAAATAATTTTAACATTTATTAAATATTATAAATCTGCCATAATATCATATGAAGCTATATTATGTTTTGTGGAAAGTAGTATTCAATTGTTATTTGTCTTACTAATAAATATTGATTGATTTGCCTATRCTAATTTTAAATAGTAAAATGAAGTAGCATATTGATTGTAGTAAGCATATTATATTTTTATTAAATGGAAGTGGCTATGTTACTAATAATTTTAAAAAAAAAAATGAGTGTATATATTTATTTGAACAGAAAAATTATAATCATGCTAATTTGCGATCTATATATGCCTCCATGCTGGAATTGTCTTCATTGTTTTAGTTTTCTCAGTAGTCAGTAGTTCTTTAATTTATATGTTTTTTTATCTTGTGATTCCAGAACATGCTTCCCGCCTATAATTATTGGTGATATTGAATTGGATCTATTTTTTGTTTCAATAAAATAAAGCTAAAATTTTAACGAAATCAAAGTTGTCTGTCAAATTATAGGAAATGTTTTAAATATAATTTACCTAGCTGATTTTGCAGTTAGTTTTAAACTAAAAAATATATATTTCCTTCTCTGTTGAAGTTCCATTAATGGGAGAATGAATACTCATGTAATTRTTAATGATTTTATTGTATTTTGATGACTTATTTTTATTATCACCATAACACTTAAATATTATTAAAACATAAAAATTAACAATTTAATTTGATAACAATTAACACATATTATCTTGGTCTGAATATTTGAACTATATGAATATCTATAACAATTTGTCCTGTAACATCATTTTAAAACCCAAAAGCTTATTGCTAATTATAAAACATTCTGTTTATCTTTAATTATTTTGGGTTAAATAATAATAATCGTATTCAATCAGAAAAAGAGAAATATTCCATTTATGTATTTGATTGAAAGAGGGACTACTTCCCCTTCTATTTTATGTATATGCTCATAATGATGAATTCAGTTTAGCATCAATGGTCTTTTAATGTTTAACTAAAAATTAATCCATTATAATGTATAAACTACAATCAAGCAATTCCCCATTTTTTTTAAATATTTATAAAAAGTAAAAACATTCAAAATTTTAACTATCTAATTTTTAATCTTTTGTAWTTTTTTTTATATGAATTTTACTGTTTTTAAAACTATAGATAGTAAATATTTAAGGATTTCTCAACAAGTTTGTATTTTAATTTAAACTACCTATTTAAGATATAAAAAGAATTATAGAAAAGATTAGCCACTTAAAACTGTTTAATGAAATATTTTATATTTGTTGGACAATAGTGTGTCATATGTTAAAAGATTATTAGCTTAGGATTGTAATACATTACTCTWGTTAAAAAAAGGTAAATTATATGAATATGACTATTTGTGATGTATTTTCATATAGTGATACCTATATACAGAGTGTCCATTTAGTATCAATCAAACTTTTTATTTTATGTGATTTTAAAATAGTTGTTGTATAAAACTTATCCCAGCCTCAATGTTTTAAAACAAGGACCAGCACTATATAATCAGAAATAATGAATTACTAATTATTAGTAATTAGTAATTAGTAATTACTATATAATTAACCAATTACAAACTGGGTAAAAACAGGAGGTTGTGGATGGGTATTAGAATACACTATAGGGTACACGGAGCCCGGGTACGTGGACAAAAGATATAATATTAAAGCCTGTGTATATCCGTGTATTTAACACACATGTAATACTGTAATTTAAAATTCAGATATACTTAAAATATAAATATTTATAATATTATAATGTTAAAGACTTTATGAATAGATATTAGTTATGCTTAAGAGGATGTCAGTGAAAAAACAAAATTTAAAATATTTAGATGTTCACAATATTAGATTGTACAAAAATACAAGTTGATAAATAAACGCTCTATTATTTATTATCTAATTTTCATTATTTAAATKAATGAGTATTCAAGCTCAAGGATATTTCTATTACATGGGATTTAACACCGTCATAGGTAAAAACTGTGACAAGGTTCAAAATAAGAAACAAAAAATGATTTCCTTTTTCAGATCTTTGTATTCTGTCAGGTCATAACAACCTATTATATTATTTAGAGAGTTAATATCAAACAAAATAATAATGCCTAGAGCTAGGATTTTAATGACCTTAAAAATACACAAAGATGCAAAAATGACCTAAAAACTAAAAAATGACCAAAAAATGTACTTAGATGAGTGAAAAAAATTTATTTTTAAAATATTAATAATTATGATTGATGAATAAAATAGGTATACATTTTACTTGTGAATTTAACTGCTTCCTGGTATAATTTTTGGATTCTGAAAATTCAATAATCGTATTCACTACTAAAGCTATTATTGTTATAGGGTTCATTCGATATGTAATCTTATCTTACTTACTCTTATATTACTTTTTCAATATAATATATCAATGGACTGGAGCAGATAATTGCCTATAGGTACTAAGGATTACCTTTACAACACATATTAAAAAAGCTTAAGATAAACTAAAATTAGTTAAAATACACAAAATGAACGTTATATTTGTAATATTACGTAAAAATGCAATAAAATGCGTTTAACACAAAAAATGCAAAATTAAAATTAAGTATTCTAAACTGTTATATCATGAAACAAATTTAGTTTATGGTTAGAATTGTATAGCACTAAAAGAAAAAAGATGCAAAAGTCACCAAAATCCTAGCTCTAAATTAATGCCTATTATAAACTTTAACAAACATTATTGAATTTGATAATATAAATATTCAATTTTTTTTAAATATAACTATTTAGCCATTTAGGTACCTGCAATTACCTAATTAAATTAAAATACAAACATAATATGTGAACTTATAATGTTTTTTAAAGTACAAAGAAAAAGGGTCATATTATCATTGGATTAGATAAAAAAAATTTAATTTATTAAAACTAAAAAATTTCAATTTTTACCGGACATAATATCATATATGAAGTTATAATATTTATCAATTTTAAATAAACACTTAATCTACTTTATATTTAAATGTTCATTTTGTTTTTTATTTTTTTCTAGATATTATGGATCTGCTCAAGAAGTATTTTAGTAACGATTCTTTATTTCCTTTCGGTAAATATATTTATTGTAAAAATTATTATAATATAATATTACCTACCTATGTATAACATATTTGAATATTTGATATGTTATTAGTTACAGATTATATCACAAATTATTTTAACTATATAAATGAAAAACCAGTACCTTCAATCCTAGCACCTATAACAATAACTCTATTCTGTTACTATGTCTACATTTATGTGAGAAAATTTTATCCAATATACGTAAACTGTTGGTTTTGCAATGCCAATTTTAAAGTTGCTTTTGAGGATCGATTTGAATATTCATGCATTGAATGTGGACAGTTTAATGGTTTTAAAGAGGCAAGTATTATATTGTATGAATATTTATGCATATATTTATAATATACATTATGTTATATTTTAATTTTGTTTGATCAGTTTTTTGAACTTATAGAAATACATTTATTTTTTTTAGGATGGAAGCTATAGTAAATTAATTCCTGAGCAACACGATCAAAGATACAACAAGGCAGTTTTTTCTGTTATCCGAGAAGATGTTCAAGAAAATAAAAATGGTTTATGTCATAAATGCAATATTTTTCAAGAAATGAAGGTGAAACAATTAGCTTGTTTCATCCCAACAAAAGAAAAAAATTTTGACAGAGAAATTGAAAAATTCAAGTAATATTAAAAAGATTTTTTGAATATTTAAGTTTTGTTTGATCCAACTGTGTAATAATTATAGAGAAAACTTGGAAGCAACATTAAAATTATGTTCCAAATGCAATCAATACACTCAAAAAGTACTATTACTACAAGAACAACGTTACAACTTGAGATCAACTAGAATAAATAATAATCAAAAAGTGATTTATTTTTAAATTTAATTTTTATTCAATATTAATTAATAATTTTATTTTTTACTACAGGGTATGCAAGATGTTGGTGTTTGGCCCAATTTTTGTTCAATATCTTTATCATTTATTGTATTTATATTCTCTTCTGGTGTTGAGAACTATTTGGATAATTGGGTAGCTCAACATTTAGACCCATTGATTTTCCAGAATAGTGCTGTAACACTAACGCGCTCAATTGGAATTATTAGCCTAGGTGGTACATTATGCCAAGTTTATCACTGTTTGAGTACATTGGACAAATTGAGTGCCATAACCATGTTACTATGGTCATTATTATGTGTTATCAATAATTTTGAACATTTTGAACATTTAAAACTTAAAGTAACTTAAAAAAAAAATACATTTTAAAATATTCATACTATCTTAATATTATTTAATATTTTCCAGCTTCTCATTTCGGCAATTATTGTACTTCTATCATCTGTATCTGTACTCAGAAATTTGACAAAAAAACAAAAAATTGAACAAAAGAGTATTAAACTGGAGGATGAAGTATACAGAATTAATAATACAAATTTTAATGATACAAGGTAATATTAATTAGGGTTTTGTATTTTTTATGTTATATACCAGGGGTGGCGAACCTTTTTTGTGTCTAGTGTCAAATTTTTGCTATCAAGGGTTCGATAATTTTTCAGTGCCCAAAATTCGTAAACACCAAATAGAAAATATTAAATATAGTAACACTATCAATTTTACATATAAGAATATTATAACTTTAAAAATGTTTATAATTTATATCTTTGAATTTTTTACAAAATTTAAAGATTATTTTCTATTTAATTTTTCACGTGCCATTGAAATTTTACAAACATGTCTCTTTCAGCACGAGTGCCGTGGGTTCGTCACTTCTGTTGTAACAAATTATTTTTGGGAACAGTGGAATTTTCCTTTTTTTATCATTGTTATAATTTATATTTATAACTATACTTATACACAATTATAAATACTTTAAATCCCAAATAGAATTTAATGTCTATTAAATCTTACCACATTAAATTGTATTATCTAAGATTTTGCACTCACACAACGGTATGAAAATAGTTGAGAATCGTATCGGAAAATACTTTGAACTTAACAAAGAATAAAAATTTTGTTCAAAGTAATTAATATTATTGAACTGGTATTTTAAGTACAACAAAATTTATATTTCTTAAAAGATGATTTATATTTAACCATTTTTTTTAAAGGAATCATGAACTTTGTTTAACAGAGGTTTGACTATAATTGTATGTATTTTTATGATAATATTTAATATAAGTTTTGAAGAAAATAAAATGTTTTACACGTACCTAATAGAAAGTTAAAAGACAGAGTGAAACAAACCTTGGTAGTGCTTATGAATTTATTTAAGTTCCCTATTTAGTATAATAAAATTTAATAATCGTTTTAGTAAGAATTGTATGTCACCAAAAACACAATTACGGGAAACTCATTTTCTACCTGGGCCAAGTAATCAGTTCATCGTGCGCCTCCCAAAATTCAAAGTCGCTCGAGTACTTAATGAAAAAATCTTTCTTGAAGCCATTCCCAAGTCCATTCAGTATACAACAAGAGACGAATATGATTACGACATAGACGCACGATATATGACCTCTCGACACAATGGTATGTTGTTTACTGCCTGTTAGAAGTCAAATGTCTGTATCTTTCTTTAATTATGGGCCTTAAGTTATTGATATATTCATTATTAAACCAATGTCAATAATATCTTAGATCAAATATCTAAGTTATAATATGATAACTTTTCAATGGCTAGACTACCTAGTTAGATTATTTATATATAAGCTATAATAATAACAACTTTTGAGCATAAGAATAAATATATTTCCTTGAAAATAATTAGTTGAAATGAAATGGGTTTAAATTAGTATTGCATTGATGACTAGTTTTAGTGATAAATAGAATTGCATACAAGGAATGTTTCACTATTCTTATTTTTATATTATGAATATTATGTATAGTAACAACAAATTAACATGAAAACATCTTTTGACTTTATTATCTATAAGAACGTGTTCGTTTTATAATCATGTAAATTATTATGGCGTCATACATTTTATTCAGATATCTAATGAAGTGATATTTTAATATATTAGGACTTAATCTTTAATGTAAATAATTTAAAGATTTCTTTACAGTTTCATGAATACAGCATGTAATAGGTCTATTTGACTAATGGTGGTGTTATACATCATGTGGTCATGTTAAATAATGATAAAATATATGTATTGATTATTGATTACCCACCTTTTAATGACAACAAAACACTGATTAACAAAAAAAAATTTGAATTTTATCAAACTTTGAAAATTGTTTAAAAATGAGTGACGTAACCAAATTTAAAGTTTTAAACGGCAAAACTGTTTTTAAATACTTATTTTTTTAAATAGCTATTATGAAAAAAAATTTGAATTATTTAATTTTAGTTCTAAAAAAATTAAATATAAAATTAAAACGCAGAGCTCTTGGAATCATCACAAAAAAAAAAAACTTAAAAATATTGAATGGAAAAAAGTTAGCATTACTCAAATAAATATGTCACACCTTGTATACTGCACAATATACCATGTATCCACAATAACAGACTAATAGAGTATACTGTATAATTAAATTACCCTTATTAATTATCTATTAAACCCTTTATATATTTTTGAATACTGTTTAAGGGTCATGAAACTAGACTTATTGCATCAATCTCCCTCAGACAAAATTCTAAAATATGTTCATAGAACTGTGTAATGTAGGTAAATGAATTAAAGAGTGTACCCAGTTTTTGTAGACACAGTAACAAAATTATACACAATATAAATGATTATATCTATATGAGTAAGAACATTGGTACATGTATAACCGTTAATTTTATTAATTTACTGCCTTATTGGCTGTTATTGACTAAATAACTATTATATTATTATAAAATTATATCTATTATTCAATAAATAGTTTTACTCGAGACAAAATGGTCACATCAATCACGTGTAAAATAACCCAAATGGGTCATTTTAGTCCATTTGTCTATCTTAAAACCTATTTATATATAATGTACCAAATAGACTTTGAAATTTTAAAAATCTTATTATTAATTTAAAACAATAGTTAGCCTAACAATTGATTAATTTTTAATTTGCTTATTTAGTGCAAATGGATCATATAAAAACAGTGATGAATCAGAAATGATGGACATTGATCACGTTGAGGAGTTACCTAAAGGTCGAAAGAAGACATTGAATAAGACTGTTGATAATCTGTTCCAAGGGATGAAACTTAATGAAAACGGTGGTTTTAGAAATAATATACTTCGACCACCAAAGTTTTCAATGCCTGTTAAACGAGACAAGTTTCCAGGGTATGCGGAGTGTTCTCCTGGATATTATTCTTCATATTCGGTGAAAGACGATTATGATTTTGATACACAGAGCATTTACTCTCAACACAGTTATAGACCACAGTATCCACCAATGTGTCTCCAGCCTGTTTCACCATATCCATATTATGCTCCACCACACCACCAAAATAGTCCTTTGAACTTATCGCACTCGTCAAACACTTCAAACATACAGCATACTTCAGAATGGCCAAAGATGTTGATGTACTCAATTCCTGGAGTTATATTACTTGCTCTGCAATGTTACCTGTTGCACGACATTAAAGACTATATGAAACACAAGTGAGATTAGATTTAAGCATATTTTAATATTATAATGAACTGGACATTATTTTGTAAATATTAACTGTAACACTGCTATTGTTGTATCTTAAATATGTTAGTGTTCTTGTTGTATAAAGACTGTTAACATTTATTATTATATCGTTAACATTATTGTAAGAAAATTGGTTGTTAATTTTTTTTTTTCTATCGCATAAACTTGTCTGTATAAACTTTAATTTAATTTTTAATAAATTCTTCCAGTCATTATTTTTATWAAAATATTTTTTAATTTTAATTTTAAAGACACGAATGATACTTGCGTATTGATTATAATATTATATTGATYCTTTAATTAGGTATTTGTTAGTTGTTATTAGTTATATTTAAGCCTTAAAAATTGTAACACTTAACATTAAAAATATGCACTACAAAAAGCACAAAAAATATAAAATATAATACTTTTTGATATATTTAAAATATAATTAAGGGGATATCACGCCTGCATGTATTATCTTTGTCTTTAACATGGAAAACATTACAAATTTGCATTCAGCTGTTCCAATTTTGTGGTGTTAGATTTATATTAGAGAGAATTGACCTATTATCAAACTTAAAATTAAGTACATTATCTGTGTTGTCTTGTTGGGTTTTTACAATATTTTAATTTTAGGCAAGTTAAGAGAATATTTGATTTTAAATAATTTACACACTCAGTTTGTTTGAAAATTAAAATATTGCAAAAATGTATTAGAGATAACATAGATAATTTTTTCACTTGAAGTTTGATTTCAATTAAATTAACTCTAATATTTAAGCTAATAACAGACAGTTGGAATTACTGAAATAACATTTTGTGTGTTTTGCATTAGTAAATTAACACATGTAGTTACAAAATTCTCTTAATGTATGCGAAATGCAATATATTATGAATAATATATACTTATTGGTATTGTGCTGATTTTACAAAATTTATATCTGACAATATTACGATTGTAATTTTTTTCTTCACAATTTACCTTGTATTATAAATGTGTACTCGCATGTTTATTAGATTTCATTGAAATATAAAAATAATTTTAAGATTGTTCAAAATTGACTCAAAAATAATCTATAAATTCTTACTATATATCTACAGTCAATTMTTCACAATGGGCACATTCTATTATTAGATATTTCTGACATTTTACATATAAAATATTCATAAAATTATAATTTACTACCTCAGTATAATATATTTAGCAGTTTAAATATTGAAGATATTATATTGTACACATTCTGTTAAAATGTTTATTTTTAAAAATTTTAAAGATAAATCCTGAATAATTCAAGGAAATTAAATGTTATAAAACATTTTACAAAATATACAATACTTTAAATTTCTCAATTTTTATTTTTGAAAACTTATTTATAAATTATATTCATAATTAAAAATTCAATATCTATATTTAAGTATTTAAATACTACACATTTCTTAGTGTCATAGATTATCAGTATAGGGATTAATAAAGATAATTAATATAGTATTAAGTGCTTAGCATAACAAAGATATTCTTAAAAATGTATGGTTAAAACAATATTATATGGCCAAAAACATTTATGATCTATCTCATATTAATTGAGTTTTGTACAGATAWAATCACTTTAAATATATTTTTTACTTWAATAGAATATTCATTGATAATTGCAGTATAATTAACTTTTGTTGAATCTACAAGAAAAATATGGCCTGTCTACAACCATGCAAACAAAGACTGAAAAAATGAATCTACAACCTTAATGTATAGATAAATATTAAATATATTATAAATAAAATATTTAAACATTATTGAATGCTATAAATGTTGAATGGATGCTGATAAACATTTCAAAATCGCTCAATGTGGGTAGCTAGAAATTATGTACAGAAAAAAAAAAGAGATTAGATACATTCAATGATAAAAAATCTTGTCTAAATTACTAGCTGTGAAAAAATGTATGCACTTTAAACTACTGAGAACACAAAACAATAGGAACAACACAGCTAAGAAACTTAGTCAAAATTGGTAACAGAATTAGTGGTCCACAGCTGAGTATAGTCAATGCGATTAACAAATGTGTTTTTTTTTTTTTTAGTGTAAAAAGAATATTTAAATATTGTTGTGATGAGTTGGGTGTTCATTAACTGACTTCTTATGGGGAATCGGTTGCTATGTCTTTCTCCAGTTTGAAAGTGGGATAGTCAGCACAGTCTTTAGAAATGTASATGCCGTAATCAGAGAGATGGTTGATGGCCGGTTGGACCATGTGATAGCTACTGAGAATTTTGTTAATGTCCATTGAATAGTATCCTGATGACATTTTAACCAACATATCCAACAGAGACTCGGGCGGCTCGACGGAATTGCGAAGCAGCGGCATAACGTAACAGCGTTGGTTCTCAAAGTCAACTATGGCGGTAATGTTGATATCAAAGTCATGCAAGAAACGAGCTGATTTGTTGATGACGATCCGCGGCACCTTTTTAATGGTTACCTCTGGCGGGTTGATAACCATCGAGATGACCAAGTTTTTGGAGCTCGGAGGTGGAGAAGTGGGCAATAACTCTGGCAACAACAGCATATCGTTCTCAGCGTCTGCATACGACGAGTAAGATTTGCAAGGCACGGCGGCTTCGTCCACTGTGTCCTGTTGCTTCTGTTGTAGGTCATGAACGTAAGCCTTGCACAGCGCATCGACGGAGAAATAAAGGATCAGTAGAAACGACACCAGGATTGCCGAGATCTTGGCCATCTTGAACACAATCCGAGTGCGCTCGGCCGAGTGGTGGATGCACACGCCGACCTTCTGGCCGTTTTTGGCACCGTTCGGCAAACCACCGTCGCCGGTCTCCACGAACTTGGGGTGATATGGCGGCGGTGGCTGGGTCTGACCACGGTGGACTTCTCCGGCRCCGATCAATGGCGCTTTGTCCGGCTTGCCGCAGGCAGACGGGAACGTTAAGACGGTCATCGCAAACAGGTACCTTAACGGTTGCGACGGCTTCTTTTGTGAATAATCGAACCGGACGGAAACGGCTATGGAACTACGGTTTTACGAGTCGCGGCGAGCCACTGTGCGTCTGTCGTTTAACTCACCGTGCGAGCCAGGTTTTCTGTTTTTGCGTCGTAGCTAGGGGCTCGGGGGCAGGACGTACCGACTGACGAGAAAGACTCGACGGACGAGCGCAGGATCGGATCTCATTATCAATATCAATGTGAGCCGAGGACGATCATTGGTCGCGGTCAAACCGTTGTCTCTAAGCAGGGTGCCAGGACGTGCGGGCGCGCAACTCAAAAACGACAAACACCCCGACGAACGCAACGGACCGCTACCCGTCACCCGAATATGATAACGGCGCTTATCGACAACCGACCTTACCGACCGAATGGTGCGGTGGTTAACGACCCAGCAATATTAATTTATTATTTAGACCCATCTATGTTTCCGTACAATACACGACAAGGAGGTCGGACACCTCTCCTACACTCCGGCCCACGAGACATCACTACCGTCAGAATAACCGACAGCGACAGATTTTTCCCCCATTATGTGCTGCAATCGTGCACGAGTTCTTGTCGAATAGCGGTACCTACTGATCTCTGGTGGGCCGGAGTACTATAAAGAACGTCTCCAACTCTCCAAGCTCATCCAGTTCCTATCAATAACTCAAATTGGCAATAAATTGTGAAGCGTTCCTGCTTAAGAATATCCGAGTTTAACATCAAKACCTGTAACTATCTCCTATTATTTACTAATTTATATTTAAATTGATTGATTTTCACTATTTATTATAAGTAAACGCTTCCACTTATAACTAGAAACCGCCTCATCTAAAACCTTTCTTCCCGAACAATCCCACTAATCCCAGGTGACCCTGCCACCCTGGCCAACGTTTAAAGCATAGCTAGTGCCATGATTTATTACTTTATTAGTCGACTAACCACTATACTACCCACGCCACATGAAGTAGGTATAGGGTGTTTCATAATGAACGCAGTTTTTGAAATCATCCTGGCCAATTTGTTATTATTAGGATAATGGCAACGTTTTTATAATATTTCTGTTACTTATGGTATTGAGGTTTTTAGTGAATAAATCCAATATAATATTGTATATTTTGTTTAATTGTCGTCATGGAGTGGTATACAATCGAGCAACAGCCAACAAATTTCGTTTATTAAAATCCATTATAAACATGGCGAGTGTTTCTATGATTATTAAGAAACTTCGTACGATACTCAAATATTGTGAAGCAACGACCGCAACCGCATCAACAATAGTGAGGCTGGTCAGCAAATTCGATGAGACAGGATCAATTGCAAACATTAAAATTTATGAACGCTAGTTATTAAAATTATGATCATATTTTCTGTATTCCATGAACCAGTGGCGCCGAACTCAATTTAAAATGGGGTGGCCAACTAGTAAAAAATTATCAAGTATCCTCCCACACAGTACCATTAAATTAAACCTATGCGACTATACCTCAACGTTATCATCAGACAGCAGTTATGTACAATATTTTAGTATTTGTACAATTATTTCAAATTGTATTTTTGTTAGATATTTAACCATCTGCATAACAGGACCAACCACTGACCCATTTAAAAGGGGTGGTCACCGCCATCCCTACTGTATAGGTTCGGTGCCACTGCCATGAACATATATAATTCGCAGTCGTTGGCCGCGATCACGATCAGTCGTTGTTATGTGTATTGCTGCCTAAGGCAAACGACTTTATAATATCTATAAAACCCGCTACGCATACATACAACTATACACAACATATTATTCGAAATAACTATCAAACGTTATGGAAACGAAAATCGTTGAAATTTTAAAAATTGTTAATGATTTAAAAGTCACGAATAATAAAATTATTTCTACAATAAATACCCAAAATTAAAAAATTAGTCCCATATCTAAGAAGGTTGATGACCTTTTTAAAAATGTCTCTAATCTAACAAAAGCTAATCAAGATCTTAATTTAAAAGATACTAATCTAGAAATAAAAATATTAGCTATGGAGCAAAATATAAATAAAGAAAACAATACACCACCTGAACAAAACATTATCGAGTAACTAATGGATAGACAGTCGATATCAAATGATATATTATTCTATTTAACCTAACTGAGGGTGATTCACAACAAATTGAAAACGTTATTTACAGTTTAAATCAGAAAATTGAACAATTTACTTTTTTCCGTCTCGGAAAAACAAAATCAAATACTCCGAATAAGCTACGTCCAGTAAAAATTCTTCTTTCAAGTCAATCAGATGTGTTTAATATCTTACGAACATAAAAAAAATTGAAACCAACAATGAAATGGTCAAATGTTCGTTTTTTGTCAGATAGAACTACTAAGCAACGAGAAGAAGTGGAAAAACTTTACAACAACGTAGAGATAATAGTGAGCAGAACATAATCATTAATTAATATATTAAAGGTATTCCGAGAATTATAAACACTACAAAAAACTGATAAGCACTCCACCCACTTGTTTAAATTTGTATTACCAAAATGTCCGTAGTTTGAATAATAAACTGTCATGTTTAAAATCTCAAGCTCCTTGATCAATTTATGAATTTATGATATATTTATATTCACAGAAACTTGGTTCAAAGAAAACGTTATGTCAACTGAATTAGGTTTTTATAATCATAATATTTTTAGACATGACAGAACAATTAATGAATCATTAATTGAATCATTATGATTCCTTATCTAGAGGTGGTGGTGTACTCATCACTATTCGTAATAATATTTATTCTAAGCTTATTAAAATTGTAATTAATAATATCGAACTATTATTTTGTAATGACAAAAATGTCTAATCTTACTTTTATTATTGGGTCTGTGTGTAATACCTATTATACCTATTAAATCAAATGTTATATTATTTAACGAATATTTCAGTACGGTTGAGTTATTATGTAAAAAGTATAAAAATGCAATTCTCTTATTGTTTGGCGATTTTAATTTACCAGAAGCAAATTTTTCAAATGCAACTTCTTATATCAATGATAAATTAGTTTATTTAAATTTAAATCAAATAAATAGTATTAAAAACGTAAAAACACTATGCTTGATTATATCTTAACAAACTCTACTGTTGTTGATATTAAATCATGCATAATATATCCTATTGTCCCTATTGTTGTAGTATTTCACCCACCAATTTTAGCCACTTTTACCCATCATATTATAAATTATTTACCAATCATAGAATATATACATAACTGGCACCGTGCAAATTATATTTCTATTGTAAAATATTTAGGAGATATTAATTTTATTGATTACTTTACTAACAATAATTTAAATGATTGCTTGGAAGTATTTTATGGTCACATTAATTATATTATAGATAATTTCGTTCTCAAAATGCAGAAATATGATCTTAAATGTCTTATTTGGTTTAGTAAAGAGTTAAGATATCTTATTAAACAAAAACACTCAAATGATTTAGAAAATTATTTTGAATCATCTAAACTGCGTTCTAAATGTTGTAAACACATTAGACACCGAGATTACAGCTTATATACAATAAAATCACAAATAACAATTTTAAAAAAACAATTCTACATAAATTCGTAAATTTGTAAATGACAATGGTACAAATAATCATAAGTTACCTAACGTAATATCTTATTTTAATAAAGAAGCTGATAATGAAAAGGACATCATACATTTATTTAAAGATTATTTTTCTGATACATATGTCTCAAATAATAAWACTTATTCTCAAAGTGTTTGTGGAAGAAAATAATTTAACCTCTACTTCAAAAATTCAACTGAATCAGATAGATGTTATCAACGAACTATGGAATATTAATCTCATAACAGCAATAGGTCCTGATAAATTATCTCCAATATTTTTACAAAAATGTGCATTCATACTTACTCCAGTTATTACTGCGTTATTCAATAAATCATTAGAAACCGGTATTTTTCCTGATCAATGGAAATCATCATTTATTACTCCTATTTTTAAAAAAGGTAAAAAAAAATCTAATAAATAATTATTGCCCAGYATCAAAATTATTAATTTTTCCTAGATTATTTCCTAAAATGGCAAATGACATTGTCACGAAATTATGTAATCCATTACTTTCAAATGATCAACATCGTTTTAGACAAAACAGATCAACAGTTACAAACCAAAGCATATACTTCAAACACTCGATCTTACAGTCGTTTAGTACTCACTCACTAACTAATGTTATTTATACGGATATGGAGAARGCATTTGATAGGATAAATCACAAACCATTAATTATTATACTTGAATCCTATGGGTTTGCTGAACCACTTATTTCGTAGTTTCATTCGTTTATCACAGGCCGTACTCAGGTTATCAAATATGGTAACCATCTTTCTGAAAAAATGTACTTTACATCAGGAGTTCCTCGAGGAGACCACTTATCTCTGATATTATTCTGTCTTTTTATAAACGATATATCAAAAGTAGTTTTATATTCAAAAATCTTACTGTTTGCCAATGATGCAAGATTATTTAGAGAAATTAGAACCATGGATGATGTGATGCTGCGTCTAAATTTAAAATATATTCCAACTATCAATTAGTAATTAACAATTTATCATTGTGACAATAATTTCTTAGTTAGTAGTTAGTAGTAATCAATTTAATATTCTTCAAAATATTACAAAAATGACCTAAGCCATTTTCCTTCAAAAACGAGATACCGTTTTCCTCCACTATCCATTTTCCTCCAACGAATTAAAAAATAATTCTTCGCCATTTTCCTCCAATAAATAAAATAACAAAATAGTTAATACAAATAACTTATGCATAGCCAAAAAACAAATGTATTTGTTAGATATTATTATGTTTGATAAAATTAAATGAATAAACGTCGCTTTTTCAGACATGTTTAAATTAAAATTCGACATCAAATCCAACACTATCGACTCTAGTCGACATACAGTTCGCTACTAAAAATATAGTTTTAGTGATGCGAGTATATCGTATACAAGTACATTCGTGTGTCTGACGTCTGTCTCATTCAATAGTGTAATCATAATAATTGTTAACCACTTATACACAATATAATATAAATAAGATTATAAGTATATGTCCGTATCTTTATTTAAATTATTAATTTTAATCGATAGCTGATATAGATAGCCGACACCGGAATGTAATCATCAACCAATAAGCGCAAAATGTGATCCTAGCTTTACTCTATATTTTTAAAACGGAACATAATACTACAGCAAAAATATTTGCTAAAATATTGGTGGAAAATAAACATAACTTTA